ACTTTACTAAAAGTTACTTTGTGAGTCATTTGAATCCTTCTTCTCTCTCTCTCTCTCTCTATATATATATATATATATATATATATATTTAATATTTTTCTATTAGTAATAATTTCAATTAAAATACTTAATTTAACTATTTTTCCTTTGAGTATACCTTTAACAATTTTTATAATTCTTATAATACTATTAATTAAAATCGATTCCTCGCGATTAAATAGCGCCATCATTACCCTATGATGTGTTGATGACATTAAAAATCAAGAACAGAACAAATTAAGCAGGTGAGGTGTGGAATTCGGTTGTTGTGTATCGAGAAGACCTGATAGAGAAATGTGACTGTTTGTATATATATAACTTAGGTTGTACATCATATTTAATCATCTATTTACTAAATTAAAATTTTTAATATATATTAAATTCATAATTTTTTAAATTTTTTGAAAGTTATATAATACTTGTTATGCATATTTAAGTTAATGTATAAAATAATTTTATAATTATTCGTTATTAAGTATTTTTAAGTTTATCTCTTTTTAATATAAAATTTTAAATATTTAACCATTAAATTAAAAGTTCTAAATTTATAAACCAAGTCAGCAAATTTTTAAATGTGTGTAGGAAGTGATCAAATTACTCCAATCAATAACTTATGGTACATATATATTGAATTTAAAAAATTTAACCTTTAAATTAAAAGTTCTTAATATATGAATCAATTTTATAAAATTTTAAAAATTTTGAAAACTATTTCATGCTTCATTTCATTAATTCAAAGGGATAGATAATAATAAAAATTAATATTTTATAATTGATTTGAATCTTAAAATTTTAAAAAAAATTATAAATTTAATCTATACATAAATTTTTTTATTTAACTATTAAATTATTAAAATTCAATATATACCATAAATTTATAAGTTATTAAGTGAAATAACTTTACTAAAAATTATTTTTGAAACAATTTGACTTCTTATATATATATATATATATTATAATAAAATGCAAGCTAAAAGTTTGATGATTTGAAGGTGGGTGGGGTATTCTGAATGTCTTTTTAGATTTGAAGGTGTAGATTAAGCGTGATGCACTTATGAATTAAGTAATAACAATATCAGCATTTTTATTTTATTTTATTAGACGTTAATTTATTGACAAATGTGTGTAAAATAAGAAAAGCAAACAGATGCATAGTGTTTGAACTCATTTCTTCCTACATGTTGTGGGGAAGAGAGGGGTTTTTTGGTCATTTTGGAAGGTTCCAAAGACAGGTTTGTTTGAGGCAGAGTCAGGCAAAGAAGGAAGAGAATGTAAGTTTTCAAATTGAAGTGAAAATTTCATCCTTGGCCAAATATAGTGTTTGAAAGTGCACTGCTTCCAATTTGATGAGCCGATGATCAATTTGGACTTCACCTTTGGACTTTAGTGTCTTATCAACCTTTAATCCATTTCTTTATATTATTTCTTCAATATTAGTCTCACCTTTCTTCACTTTGACAAATGTTACACATTACCCAAAAATTCCAACTTCACTTTACTGAAAATTGTGCAAGTTTGATTTGAACCTAAGTCACTTTTCAACTACTCACAATGAGGAGAGTTCCGTTGCAGGTGAAATTTAATGTGCTTCAAATATACCTGCAAGAAATAGTCAACCCATTTCACTGCACATGCAACAAATGCCTTATGTTGAATTGGTTAAAACAGATAAAATAAAATAGAATATACTAAAATAAATTAAAGTACTATTCAATTGTTTAGATATGTTACAAAATCTTCATTTTCCCTAAATTGGGGTAAAATAAAAATTAAGGTAAACAATAAAATAAGATAAATGTATGTTCGAAAACGCGCGTGTCTAAAGAGACAAATGCAATTTTTGTGACCCAATTGTGATCATGAGTGACTCGGGTTGGCTTCCTCCACAAATTAAAATATTTTAGACTTAGATCAATAAAAAAATATGTAAGTAGTTAACATATATTATCTAAATAAATTATTTTTCTGTGTTTCACAATGACATGTCTATAATGCTCTAATTAAATAGTGGAAATATTTAAAATTAAAATTTAAAGAAACTTAAATACTATTATTGTGTAAATATCAATTGTTCTAAAATCTCTCAAATTTATAAAAGTAACCTATAATTTCTTGACAACTCAAAAAATTAGTTATTTACATTAAAATTTTATTAATCTCACATAGTCTATATTATAAATGTAAAAAAAAAAAAGAAGAAGAAGAAAATAGTGTTACTAAAGAATCATGTATTTAAAGAAAGCATTACTAAATAAAGTAAAAATAGTCTAAATTTGGTTATATTTATGAAAAGAAATATTTAATTTAGTTATAATAATAGAAAATGGAAAATTTGAAAAACTTTGGAGTGAAGATATATTTAATTTTGTTGGGTGAATCGAAACACAATCTTAGAAAAATTGTTTATCCCGTCCGTGATTACCGTTTGTCCCATCGTTGAAATGATAAGAAAACTCACAAAACCTAACTCGAAGCAGCATTTTAAAATCATCGACTGGGCCTCCTCGCGTTGAAGATTACAAAACAAAACACGGTTGTTGAGAAAAGACCAAACCCAAACCCCTATCACAACCATTAGCAAGTCCACTATTTTTCCCTCTCGAAAGCGATATCTTCTATTTAGTTTTTCTTTTTTTGTTTAATCATAAATTTATATTAAAAAATAGACACGATTCTATACAACGCTAAAACCAACAACAAAGTTTATAATGAAATTACGGTTCATTTATCCATCTCCAATACAAGTCTACATCTATGTATGTTTCAATACCACTTTCAAAAGAAAAATATTAAAATATGTTTTTAGTCTCTATAAAGTTAATGATTTTCATCATGGTCTCTCTAATTTTTTTATTTTTTTATCCTTCTAAAATTTATAAATATTATTTTTTATCTTTGTAAAATAAACAAAATTTGATTTTAATTTCTATAAAATATTTTTCTTTAATTTTCATTTCTTTAAAATTTAAATTACTTTTAGTTCTTATATGATCATTTTAAGATGTATAAATAACATTTATTTTAAAGATGTATAAATTTTTTAGAAGTGTTAAATATCAATATAATATTAATAATGATTGTAAATAATATTTAAGATGGTTACTTAACTTTTTAATAAATAAAAAATAGTTAAAAAATGATTACATAAAAATAGGAATTAAAAACAACAATTTTATTTTATAGGGATGAAAAACATAGAAAAAGTTTTACAAAAAATAAAATTAAAACTTATAAATTTTATAGGGATAAAAATATATTTTTAAAAAAAACATGCATTTCGATAAAAATAAATAAATTTATGAGTGTAACTTAAATTGCTGTTGAGTTGAACTTAAAAATAGTTGCTAACACACCTATACAGTTAGATTGTATATTTTTTTTCTTCTCGCTATGTTGGAGGCACCTCAAAGAGAGTGTGATAGCTGACTCTAAAATTTAATACGGCTGCATACACAAGGTAGGATTCGAATCATTGACCTTACTTAAGCGTAAATCAACATCTATCGCTGAACCAGGTTTAGTTAAATTGTATATCTTTAGTATGTTTTGTCAAAATTCATGTAATAACCTTTTGAAACTGTGGCTTCTTTTGTTGACCAAAGCACACATAAATCCACAACCACCCACACACGTAAAAGGTAGCAGCAACAGCAGTAGTATTAGTTAGACTAGAACTGAATTAGTTAGTTCCTTGAGCATTATCCTGAGTTAAGAATGGGGAATGCCTTGGGGGGAAAGAAAACGACAAAAGTGATGAAAATCGACGGAGAGACCATGAAGCTGAAGACTCCGGTGAGGGCAGGGGAGGTGTTGAGGGAGCACCCGGGGCTGGTCCTGCTGGAGTCGGAGGCGGTGAGGCATTACGGGATAAGGGCGAAGCCGGTGGCGCCGGAGGAGGAGCTGCGGGCCAAGAGGCTTTACTTTCTGGTGGAGCTGCCGTGGGAGGCGGCGGTGCCCGCGCGGAGGGTGAGGTCGGGGATCAACATGAGCGCCAAGGACAGGCTGGAGAGCCTCGTGCTGGCTCGGCGGTCGGCCTCCGACCTCACCCTCATGAAGGCGGCGCCGCCGGAGAACGGAGGGCTGAGGCTGAAGATGAGGCTGCCCAAGGCCCAGGTTGAGAGCCTCATGCAAGGCTGCGCCACCGAGGCTGAGGCCGCCCACAAGATTATGGGACTCTGCATGGCCAATGGCGCCCTTCAGAGTCACTGCCAACCCACAGCTGGGGAAACTTCCAAGCCACGTCAGGTATGCTCACTTCTGATGGGATTATTTATCGAGGATATTTTATGAGAGTTATTTTTATAATTTTATTATGCAAACATACTTTATAATTATGAGATATTATCTGCCTGTTTTGAGTCTTAGTCCACATGATTTTATTTTTGGTCATTACCTAAAAAGTTTCTTAATCATTGAAATATTTTTGTGTTATATAAATTATTATTTTTTATCATATTTTATCGACGTGGAACTTGTTTATATCCCAACAACTACACACTACACAATTTTTTTTTTTAGGATAAGATTATTTTTTTTTTTTGGAGAATTTGATAGATACCAAATAGATAAATATTTTATTTTAATTTGAGTTTTCTGTGTTCATACAAGTTAAAATTTAAATTTTGATTACTTGATTAAGTGACTTGAGGATCTTGTTATTTGCACAGATTCAAATAGATAATAGACATTTTTTTTTTCAAATAAATTATTTTTTTTAGTGGATGCATTTATATTTAGTTTTATCCTTTGTAAAAAAAAATTAATCTCTTTTGACACTAAAATTACTCGTATTTGTCTATTAATTACCTACCATTTTTAAAATAAATAAAAAAAATGAAAGAGATAGGGGCTCTTTCTCTCTAATCAAGATAGTTTGATAAAGTTTTGAGTAAAGCACGGTTCATGTCTACGAAAGTGTGTCACCCGTTCTTTCATCGAAGTAAGGAAATTTTAAACAAATTTACGAGAGTTTTAAATGTTTCATTTTAAATTTATCTATTTAGTAGTATTTTTTAGTCTTTAAATATATTAATATTATTATTTACGTGACGTGTTTTCTTGAAATATGAACTAAAATGACTGATATTTTACCTTTCGAAGTTTTTTTTTCCCTTAAATTTTCTTGTTTCCAATTACCAAAATGTCAGCTACATATAAAAAAAATATTATTTAACTTTTTTAAAAAAATTTAAATACATTAAATAAATTTAACTTATAAAATATCTTTTTATTTTTCTAAAAATATTTATGAAAAAACTATCCAAAAGCATTGTAACAAATGTAGATGCTTATGACTCTTGTTTTGTGCAAGTTTGATCTTGATTTTAAAAAGCATTTTTTGTATTTAACTCTAGACTATATCCTTGCTCACTTTTCGTTTTTTTTTTTTTTTTACTTGAGTGTTGTTTGGTTATAATAAATAGAGGGAATAAGAAGAAATATAAATAACAAATTATTATAATTTTTTTTACAAACAATAATGATAGATTAAATGAAATTTTAGAAAACTGTAGGGCGCGGCGTTTGGAAGAGGAATTCATATAACTTGTTTGTCTTGTTTTATATCATGAATTTAAACTCATGAATATAATTTGAGTTCATTCAGTTTGATTTTTAGGATTGTTTTATGAAAACTAGTTACAATTTATATGAAAGCCATTTATCTTTATTAAATTTTAAAATATCACTCTAGTAAATTTTATAATTTTTCAAAGGAAATATTAAATGGTAAGAAAAAAATCTTCCAAAATAATTAATTAAATGGCCACTAAATTTCCTGCAAAATTCTCATCCTTTATATTAAGAGGAGCTTTTTTATGAGTCCCTCAATTATTATTATTTTTTGTTACCGAACAACACTTATTTATTCACTTTCACACACTTTTTTTTCTTCCATTCTTTTCTCTTACACTTCTCAATTACCAAATAAAGTATACAAACCACAACTACTCATTTGTCTTCAATCACTGTACTCGTTAAATATATGTTTATAACACTTTTTTAAGAAAATACACCGTAAACTTGGGATAGTCAATATCACTCTACCAAACATAGTATTATTCTTTTCACAAACCAACTTCACAGTTTTGTCTTTACTTTTTATGTTTTGATTATTGGATAGTAATTTAATCATTCACATAGCAACTATCAAGTTTACGTAATGTCGTTTATCTTACAATAAGCTCAACAGAGTTCAAATTTGCCATTTATTTAACGAAAGGAGTGCACATATTTCTTACGTTATTATTCGTGTTACATTTGAGTCAATGCTTAGTGTATCGACTCTCCTTATGTTCTAATGCAGCGAGTTGACGTAGCGGGTGCAATCATCATCTGTATTATTATAAACAGAAATGGTTGCTTTAGTTATTCCATATATTATTCATTATCGCTTGTGCAATGATTTATAGAAAAATATAAAACGTAGAGAAATATATTTAAAGACATTTTGCTAATCATTATATATTTTCAGATAAACATAAAAGATAAAACCATTAATTAATAATTATTTCTTATTTAAAATGTTAGTTTTTCTTTTAAATATTGCTTAGCATATAAAATTATAATCCACTTTTAAGTACTACTTTTTATTTTTAATTAATATCAAATAAATATACAAGTTGGCCAGGAATGATCTATATAGATATTAGAGATGTATTATATATAGTGATACAAGTTGTATGATGATCATTAAAATACCAATTATATATCCATTGAATTAATTTTATTTTATTATCCACAACAATAATTGCGCTACTAATAGCAATATGCATACAATACATTACATTATAAAATCTTCTACATATATAACTAATATAATACCACAATTTAGGAGCTTTGCTTATAAAATTTTAGCACTAGCAATCGTTTCAGGGACATTTGTTCTTCTTATGAACTTGAAAGTTCGTGAGATATTTTACCAGCATGTATAGTAAGGAAAGATGAACCAATGCTGAACATTATATGGACGCATGAATTTTGAACATTTTTTAATTATTAAAATAATGTTTTTATTAACATATATATCGTTATCGATTATTTTAACATTGAAAATTATGTCAACTAACTTCAACCTACGTACTGTTTTATATTTATATCAATGCTAATTAACCTACTGAGTAATGAATTCACGTCATAAATCAAAGATCAATGACATGACCTGCAGTAACCATCTGAACAATTCTAAGAAAACATAGTTAAGAACAAATTCATTTCCATTCATATTCATTTAGTTGACGACAAGCAAAATATTATGGAAGATTAAACATTAAATATTTCATGTATACAATATATTGATTTTCAAAGGGTTAAGCCCTGTGTCCTTTTCAAGTTGTTGGGTCTGCACGGGATAAAGATTCTTCCACAGATATCGTGTATTTATAGCTTCTAAATACAAACTTGCATGGTGACTATTATTATTTATGAAAGAGTGGTTGCGAAAATAAAATTATTCTGTACACATTTGTATGCATTCATTATATCTATATACAATTTGTAGCTAATACATCATATCAACATGATTAAAAGAGTTTGTAGATACCCACTAAATTGTTGGTTTTGGATTAACAATTCTTGCAGAAAAGGGTGAGTTTTATGCCAATCAGTGAAGGAGGGAGCACAATAGCTGTGGCTTCGTGACTAGTTATTTACATTATTAGCCTTGAAAACACAGCGAAGCCTTCAGTGTTGGTGCTAGCCGGGGAGAGTATCTCACAAAAGGAATGAGCTTCCTGGTGCTTAGTTAAATATATAAGAGTGATGTTGTTTACATTTTCCACTATATATTTATGAGTCACAAAACGGTTGCAATAATTATATGGGTGTTTGCTTATATTAGTTTCACTCAACAGTAAAATGTAGTTCAGGTACCTTAGTTGTGAATAACTGTGAACTTAATAACATTATTCCCTAAATGATATGTACATTATTGGGAGAACCATAAGGGTAGAGAAAGAAAAAAAATATATTAGGTAGGCCTTCACTAAGTGTTTATACTACCAACTAATCTTTACATATATGTATTTAAATTTTTCGATTTACAAAAATAATACTTTATTACATGTTATATAGAGACTAATTAAAATTTATGTATTTCAGAACTACATAGTAATTTATTGAACATGAAATCTAGAATTAACTTAAAAAATAAAAGCAAAAACATAAAATCAGAGCTAATTCTTAGTAATTGATTTGGTCCTTGGCTCGGTGAACCTGCAGCAACAACCCTCGTTTGGACATGAGGCATTAGTCACATTACTTGAGATATTAAATTCCTCAAGCATGGCCCAACAACATGTTGGTGACATTTTAACAGTTTAAGTTATTTAAAATATAAGTAATTAATTAATATTAAATTATATTTTATAACTATTCAAATAATTTAATATTATGTTTAATCTTGAATATAATATATAATACATGATTTCAAATTGTTAAAACTCCTCTCTCCTACAAGCAATTGCCGATCATGCACAACACCATCATGAATTGAAAACCATTATTGTAGATTTGAAGGTGTTTCGGATAACAGAGAACACAAGAATTCTTATTAATCAGAGATGAAGTGTTTCAGTAACTGCTTGCATATTTCATTTGAGTAGCTATTCGTTACTTCAAGAAGGTCACACAGAACCGAAAGAAAATAGCTGATACAAGATATGCATGCAGCAGAGTGAGGACTCTAGATAGATAATATCTTAAGAAGGAAAATCAAGCTCGTCCGGTGCGTCTTCCAACTCTGAGTGCCAATTCGGTATCAATTTTGAGGGAGATGTCTAGTGCTTTCACAGAATGAGTCAACGAACCACTGTCAAAAAGCTACATCAGTGTATGGTAATATCTTCAAGAACGAGAAATCTTGGCGATATATTTTTTTATTATTATTATTTGTTGGAATTTATTAAAAATCATAAAATTATGAGTTTTACTCCTTATAACTCCACTTATAATTGTATAATTTTTAATAAACTTAAATATGTTTTTAGTCTATAAAATTTAAGATATATTTATTTTTAATTTTTTAAATTTAAACTGATATTTTTTAATCTTTGTAATTTTTTTAAAAAAATTATTTTAATCTTTATACTTTATTTATTTTTTTTAGAATCTATCAAATATTATTATACAAAATCAACCTACTAGTATTTTAATTAATGAAAACATAATATTAAACTCAATTAATGCTCTCAATTTTATCACTTTCAGATATGTTATTCTAATGATATGAAAAAGAATTAAAACAAGATTTTTGAAATTTACAAGGACTTATAAAATAATTTTAAATTTAAGGAACCAAAAATAAACTCACTTTAAAATTAGAAATTAAACATATTTAAGCCTTTTCACTCAATTTAACGAATTATGTAGGAACGAATATATTAGAATATGTTGCAAAAGCTCGACAAAAGGATAAATAGTACCGTATGCGAGTTTCTTAAACAACATGCTTTGCCAAAATAGAAAAACCATTGCAATCATGACTTCATAAAAGCACGAAAGGATTCATACATATATGATGCAGAAGATTCTAATTTATAAAAAACAGGGCATCTATTGACGCATTTGCTAACATTCAAGAGTTATATTCCATGCAAGGTTTTAGAAAATGGTCTACTATCACCATTTTAACCGCAAGATCAAGATTTTGAGTCGTGGATTGCAGCTGCATCAACCCCATTTGTCCACAATTTTCAGCAACAAAATAGCAAATGTAATTTAAAATCTTGATTCCATATTTCCATGTATTATCTTTATTAGGTTTTTTTTTTTTTTTTTAATTCTTATAAATGTGGTGGTAAGTGTTAGTTTTAATCCGTACAAAAAGATTTGGTGGTTTTAGTCCTCATAAATATATATTTTTTTAAATGGTCTTATTATCATTTTGTGATGAAATAACGTACATCTAGCCATGCCATGCCAACAACCACTCTAAGATAGCACGTTATGTGTAATGTGGTATGTCTAAATGCATGTCATATCTTCACTAAAGGAATCGTTAACCAAAGAATTAAATTTACGAGGACAAAAACTAATAACTTTTTTTTCAGGGAGTCAAACTAAAATGTCATTTTGTAGGAACTAACAAACATGTTAGACATATACTATATATTGATTCCCTGTTCTCAATCTCCTAATCCAATAAAAGAAGAGAACCACAATTCTATACTCCTATTCCAGATATTTATGTTGTGAACGTTTCGATCAGAGACATCACTACTTGAGATATGAGTTCCGAGAGCAGAATCTCTCTAAATGAGGTAATTTTATGTCTTTGATCCAGCAGTCTCAATTTACTTTCACAATGTTAAAAACAATTCCCATTTAAAATGGTGAGTTTAAGAACACAGGCAGAAATGGAAGGAAAATGTGTTATAATATCATGCTATGAAGTGCTGTGAAACTACCAAACTTAAAGTTTACCTAGAAATGTAGGTCACTCCACTTTGCCCGATTTTATGTACAGTATCTAGTGTGACATTGCCTGATGCCTGACAGTACAAAAATGACACAAGAAATTAGTTACCAAAGTGATTCCCGTCCAAAATTATGATATCCACATAATATCTGGGATTCTGAAATTATCAAGTGGCCTAAATTAATAATGAACACAATAATGCAAGAAAAGCTAACTACTAGTCCAAAGGAAAAAGGGAATATGACTTAGCAAGCTGGTGATAACAAAAACGATTGTAGCACCATCTTTCACTGCATGAACTTGTAAAAATATGACCTCAAGACCAACCGGCCAACGTGTAAACCCATAATTTTTTAGTTTACATATTGCTGAAGGCATTTCCATCCACTACTTTGAAGAATAGACAACTGAGTAGACATGCTAGTTTCTAAACAGATTGAAAAACAACACAAAAAATAATAGAAATAAAAAAAATATGAAACCATTACAAAAGTATTCTGCATCATTTATTCTAACAAATAATCCAAAATATACTGTAAAGGTTAAAGTTAAACTAGCAAATATAGTTGTAAATACCTCGGTCTCATATCTCCCGTTAACCAATTGCACAGCTTCTTTTAGCATAGATATGTCCACATCTCCATTTGGTAGAGGTACAACCATATTATCCAGCATTATTCTAGTCAAAGAAGTCTTTGTTTGGGATGAATAATGCAACACTTCTTTGACTTCCTCAAGAGTCCTGGTCTCAACCTGGAAAAAACATAGATGTTATGTCAGCAGTTACAAGGCATTAACCAAAACCTTCACATCGAGGACAAGCTGAATTTTAGATGGGAGTATCATTGTGCCTGATACAGTAACTAAGGCAGTAGGGACGAGAATTTCAAATGCAACAACCACACATGTGGCAGGTAGGAGGGAATAGAGGTAAAACCAGGTAAAAGAAAAAATAAAAGGGCTGCAAGGGGGTGACGGGTAACCAGTCAATCCTTTAATGAGGAATATGGAAGGAAGGAAGCTAACGCTTGACAATCCACAGGTGTTGCTTTCTATATATGTCATCTGGTTTTCAGCGTAATGAAGAGTGATTTTTACTATAGCAAGGAATTATACTCCCTTATTACTTATCAGTAAAATCTGTTCCTATCATCTTGTTGCACAACAAATTTGTTCCACATATAGTTATTAATTTATCATGTAGCAAACTTGACAAGGAATCATTTAAAATCTTAAAACTCACAGAAACTGCTAATAAGTCAGTGGAATTTGGCAGGCATCACAGTTTTCATGAACTTTCAAAGTTGAGAAAAAACCAATAAGAACCCGTAATGGAAAAGGAAAAGAAATGTGAAAAACAATGAAAGAGAAAACTACCTCAACCTCCATTTGGAGATTATTTTGCTCCAGATACAGGTCAACAGCTTTAAGGGCATCCATAACACCTCCAGCTGCTGATATATGATTATCTTTTATCATCACCATATCAAACAAACCCATCCTATGATTCCGACCTCCACCAATTAATACCTATAGAAGCAGATGTACACTAGCTTATTGGGTAAACTCTATGCGTAAAAGTATAAATGATTAACCATTGCAAGGAAGTGATCCAAAGTTCAGACCGCCCACTTATCCACCAAGCGTAAACCTGGAGCAGTTTTTCGAGTCTCCAACATATAAGCAGGGTATGCTGCATTTGCCATTGCCTGTGGAAAAGCACTAAATCTGTAATGCAGTCAAGAATTATGATAATAAAGCATAATTTCACTAATTACTGGGTCAAGTTAGATGTAACACATTACCATTTTTTTACATTAAATTTGAATTCATAACATAAGTTAACTTAGTTTTCATATTTTTGACAACGTTATTTTCATTATATTTACAAACACAGTTGTAAGAAGCATTATTATCATAATTTTAAATAATAATTAATAAAAAAAATTATATTTGTAAAACCACTCAAAATGATAACTATGCACCTAAAACAGCTAATGGAATTTTAAAGTAATTATTCTTCTGCGTCTATTCTCCCAGACTGGAAAGAACTCATCTTCAACAAGTGAAAGGCTTGTTTCATCTCAGATAGTTCTGGATTGTTACGTTTAAAGTCAGCTATACACATGTACATAGTGCAAGAAGATATGACAAGGCATTGAATACTGCTATGGCATGATAACTATGCTCTAGACAGAATAGCTAAAAACCCAAGTAAATCATTTTCAGAAGCCCAACTATTGTAGTAATTGACATCAAATCTTGTCAATAGCCTTACAGAGATCTTTAAAACAGCATATAATGTTAGCTAACTATGTTCGGCATGATTTTTGTTGCAATCAATTAGTTAATTGTAAGAATAACGCAGAAAATTTAACAAAAGAAGAAGATTTAAGAAAACAACAGATTACCTTTGTTAAAGTGGCAATGCCACTCATCCTCTGCATAAAGTTTAGCACTACTCTTTCAGCTACAACAATGTTATGTGCCCGTCCTGCACACAACTTACTGATGATCAGCATAAGCCATTGATGAATTAATTACAAATGAAAATTCACTTTATTCCACTTGCTTTTGTAATTATATTTTCCAAATAATTATCTTACCATGAACTTTTCCAAACTGTAGCCCTTTATGGACAAAATCTCCATCATTTTTACACCACTCCACCTGATATTTGCAAGAAATCCTACAATGGTTCAGCCAAGTACCAACCTTACATATAATGATAGACCATTTGCATATTGTTTTCATACCTTCAAAGAAGGATCAACCTCATGAAATATCATCTCTGCAAGTGCTATTCCAGCAATGATGCCATCCTCCTTTGCCAAAAAATAAGCTTCCACTTCCATGTCCAATGGAATGGTAGCCATGCATGTTACATCACCTACAATTGAAGCAACATTGATACCTAATGCCATGAATACTCTATAACTACCAAACAACAGACTACATAGTATGTATCAGTATTGTTTACTTGCACAAGCCCAACAGCACAGAAGAATTTACACTTACAGCTTGCTTACAATAAACAGTGAAGATAACATTTCAAAAAAAATTTAAAGTCAGAAACAAACATGGCAGCTAGTGCAAGAACTTAGAAGAAAGTTCAGAAATAAACCTCGATCCCCAGCATCTTCTGCAAGCGCTAACTTGATAATGCCCTTCAAATCGTAAGTTGGGTGCTCAGGGGGCTTTATGGCAAAGGACTCAAATGATATCTGAGGGCTCGTGACTTCAGTTGCAGACATTTTAACAACCTTCCTGCACTTGTACACAATGTAAAACAAATCAATCATAAAATACATGATCTATCAAGTGGACTATGGAAATATTACCATCTAGGTACAGCAAACACACTGTTCAATGAGTTTCCACACATTTAATCAATAGCATACGTAACTGATTATTTAATTCTAATTACCAGGACAGGATTAATACACAAACAGCACCAATTGATCCATACACATGATTTAAAATAAAATAAAAAAATATAAGTATTGTCAAGCCAGTTCCATATATATTATCACCAAATTTATATATTATCACCAAATTTGCTGTAGTTTACCAAAGCTATATTTCTTCTGCGACAATCTTGTTTGTAACATTGTGGAATTTTAAATGTGGACACCTATCCATTCAAACCTTGATTTGTCATAATATGAGGGACTATCACATTTTGCTAGACCCAACCCTTGTTGATATATCACCTTGTAACAGTAGCAAGGAATATGCTTAATTTTACTTTAAAAATAGAACTTGCTTACTATTACTTTTCACTGTACCCTATGTGAGAATTATATTAAGTTAACATATGCATGTTTGGATAAACTTTTTCAAAAGTAATTTTGGGACAAAAAAAAATGAAAAAATAAAACAAAATAATTTTTTTTCCATAAGTAGTGGTGGACCTAAGTGGAGACCATTCTCCATAAGCTATTTATAATTTTTTTGAAAAAGTTATATGAGACAAATTAGCATAAGTACATCCTAATTCATATTTCATTCTTCCTTTCTAATTTTTCCTTCTACAAGCCCTTCCAGAGATGTTTTTTTTATCAAGGACGGAGAATTCGATATGAAGAGAGGAAAAAAAAAACATTTTCCGAAAAAATGAGTATTTTACCTGACTTTTGAATTTGACGGCGGTAGTGAGAGGCTGTAAGAAATGAAGCAAATTAGGGGAGGTTTTGAGAAAGCAATGAAATGAAACGCTGCGTTTTACTGCGGAATAAGAAAGAGGAAGAAAGACCTTAGTGCAGGCGTAATCGCAAACGCTGTGGTTGATTCTCTGATGTGAAAAGTGGGTCGTAGCAAGTGCCCTTGTCTGCAGCTTATGCCCATATTCCAACACAGTTTCAGACACTCTTTTTCTTCTTGAATTTCAGTAATTCGTCGCTTCCAGGTTTGGGAAATTGAGGAGCGTTTCATGCACCATTGGCTTCTGTATTCGATGAGAACGTTTCACACTATCCACGATTACGTTTATGTATTCTGATTCTCATCAAAAAGTTCACACTCAAAGTGTGACTAAGCTACGCTGTATAAAAGAATCAAAACATTTTTTTTCTCCTTATAATAATATAATCATAGTTTTAAAAACCGGACCGGTCATCAAACCGGTTAAGGTACTGGGTCAGTGGGTTAAAAGTTGAACCAGTGGGTCACTAGTTGAACCGTATGACTCGATTTTTATTTATTATTTCAATTTTTCTATCTTATTTAAAATTATTTTTATTTTTATTTTGTAAAAAATATATAAAAAATTACATATTAAACTGTATATTAATACAAATTAAAAATATAAATAATATGTACATATATAATATGCTTGCAATTGATATCACAAAATAATATATGTAATATCTACATATATATTATATTATTAAATATATAATATAAAATTAATAATATACTATAAAAGTTATTTAAGTTGTATATTATATAAACAAATACATTAGAACAAGTAGTCATTGTTATATTTAACAAGAATCTTTGTTCTTCCATTAAAAGATTCAATTTTCATTATTATTTTTGTGGTTTATGGTACCTTAAGAAAATTATAAAAAAAAAAAAAAAAGTGGTTGAACCGGTTTGACCCACCGGTTCACCAGTTGAACCGAAAAATTGACCGGTTCAATCCGGTTTGAAACGGGTCGACTGCATAACCGATCCAACTGAAGGTTCGGACCGGCTGGACCACCGATTCCCGGTCCAACCGGTCCGACCGGCCGGTTCGGTCCGGTTTTTTAAACACTGCTTATAATACTTATTATTTTCACTTTATTCTTATATTAATTATTTGAATCAATTTATAGTATGTTTGGTTACATTTTGTATGTAATTTTTCACGTTTAACCAGAAGCTAATAGTTATAACTTCTACATTTTTTTTAGATGAATTGACGCGATTCTCTACTTTCTAATGTGTTTCCAAATATGCATTTAGTGCATGTTTGATAACACGTCCAAAACGTGAATCAAAGCAAAAATCACGTCTAAAATATAAAAGCTATCACTGATAGCTTTCATTTTGATGTGATAAATCATGTTTAAAATCTGAACCAAACACACGCTTTGTTTTATCTTTAAAATGTATGTTAATGTTTGATTTTCTGTCCGTTTAAATACTTAACGAATATGACGCATGTCATGTAGTTATGCCATGTGACATGTGCTACATTCATTAAGTATTTAAATGAAAAAGATGAAAATTTTGATATACATTTTAAAAATATAAAATTAAATTGATTCAAATAATTAATGTAAGACTAAACTAACACTAATGAATAATATAAGAGATGAGAAATATATTTTTTATAAAAGAAAAGTAGTTTCTAAATTAATTAATTACTATTGTATTATTTTTCTTTTAAAAAATACCTAATTTATCAACAACATTAAAAGTAGTTTAAATAATTAATTCTAATTAATAATATTATGATTTAAAATTTTATTATAAAGACATCATAGAATTAAATTAAATTGTGTAAGTGGTTATTATATTTAATGACTATTTTCTCTAAATTTATAAATAAAATAAAAAATATACAAATTAATAAAATTAATTAATTATATTTAATTTTTATAATTTACATGAAACATGTATTATTTTTTCTAAAATATTTTGAACCGTCTTTATTGTAAATAATGTCTCATTTGTTGTCTTCAGTATATTTTTGAATAACAAACATTAAATAAAATTAACTTAATTAAAATTTATTTATATTTCAATTAAAAAAATTTGAGCATATTTTTGTTCATATAGGGATTACTAAGAATTTAATAAAGAATTTTATCAACTAATGAGCATTAATTAGTTATAGTTACCCTGAAAAATACATTCATTTTTCATTAAAAAAGAAAAGAAAAGAGTATGTAACTCATTAATAGATTCATAATAATAATTTAAAAATATAAAAAAAAAATCATAAATTAATATATTTAAAAGGTTTCGACGTGTATCAATACATCAATACATATATACAATTGTAGGTTTACATGTAGAACTCAACGAAGCATTAAAAATACGCAAATTAAAAAACCACCTTAAAAAGGAATAAACATTACAAATTTGAATAATTTGTACACATGTCAAATTATACAAACTAACAAAAATTTAATTACTTAAAGTGGAAGAACCTAAAAAGGTATAATTTGGCACTGAAATGCGGGCCCAAGTTAAAAAGAAACTACTTGACCCAGTAAATTACACATTTTTGTATAACTGATTTAAAAAAAGGTCTCACAACTTATAATAAAATGAACCATTTTAGTATTTTATGGATTAAAAACAAAATTTTCCGGTTAGTACTTAGTACCATATTCATAAACTGAACAGCCCACAATTTGACATAATACACCATGAGATCTATATATCCAATAATTGATATAAGCTAAAAGGTTGCATAATAAATTTTTTTTTTTTATTTTTGATAATTAATGTATGTTTATTAAATAATGTGTTTATTCATTTTTTAATGTACTTATTTCTTCTCTGACCACCTAATGGGTATAACAAGAAAATAGGTAATAAATATTTTAAAAAATTAAAATATTAATCATTTTCTTAATTCTTGTACATAACCTTAAAAACAATAGAAAAAAAATGAAAAGAGTAAAGTAGAAGCCGTACTAAATAGACAATAATTATCTATTTTAAACATTATCAAAGTAGTAGCTTAAGAAGTAAAATTAGCTGAAATAAAATTATTTAATTTAATATAAATTAATTTTAAAAAATTTATCTTCTATTCACTTCTTTTCTACTTTCTTCTACCAAACAATTTTTAATTTTTAACATATTTCTTTTCTTTTCTCTTTCTTTCTCTTTTCTTTCTTTCAATTTTTTCTTCTCTACTAAACATAGCGAGTGTGACAAAAAATGATGTTAAGTAATTCCAATTGAAGTAAAATTGTTATGCAGATAGTTATATAACTTCTTAGTATTATTTGAACTCCATTTTATAATTGTTACTCTTTGTATATTGTTATCCTCCACTAATTCGTTTCTTAGCATTTTTTTAATGAAATATATCAACTATTAAATATTCATTTCAATTTACTATAGTTTATTTATAGATATACTGCTCAATCATTGTATTCGAGTAATATTTTGATTTCCATGGAACCTGTCACTGAAATCCAAACTTTGGCAATTGGCAACTACGAAATTACTCATTTTTTTCAAGTACCATAATAATATAGCAAATTAATATCTCAACACACCCACACTAAAAGGAAAAATCAGTCTATTAATGCATATATGGAAGTGGGACTATGAGGCATGTGATTTCATCATATTGTATTCAAGTAATTATTTGTGTGATGATGTATGTGTACTTGATCACAAATTAATAAAAGTACTATAGTTCCAACTTGTCTTTATCTCCTGTGAATGCATCTGTGGCTCTTATATTAATTTGTTTGTGAACTTAAAGTATAAAAATATTTCAAAACTATGGGATGTAACCCCTTTAATATAAATCCAACACAAATATCTTATGAAAATTCAAAAGTATTTAATGTCATAATTAATAGAAACCTAATTTTAGACTATAAAAATAACTGTTTGTCATTAACACCTAAAATTAAACTAACAATATAGATTTTATTTTGATTCTTTTCCATTGTTCCTTATACTAGTTACTAGAGGCGTAGGAATGAACTTTGAAATGGGATTCTTATAGAAATTAAGGGGAAAATGCATCCGTGAAAAAAAGTAGTAATTTAATTATTTAAGGGAAATTTATACTTGGAAACAATCTTTTAGAAACTTCATCTCAGCTTCATATTTCCTAAATATAAACGTTAACGTCTTTCTCTTGAAACAATTAAAAGTAATATAATTGAGAATGGGTTGGAAATAAATTATGATAATCAAGGTGCAAATTAACCAAAATGATAAATATTTAATTATATTAATTACATTTTTATTTTTATTGCATAAAAATATTTAATAAAGTTATTATAACCTATTTTAGCCTTCTTTGTTTATTGTTTTCAAAAAAAATAAAATATATATATATATATATATATATATATATAT